GTTGTTCCGATGTCATACTACTACATAAACAAATTGGAGAAGAAGTCTGAAAACACTGTTTTTCCCAGCACAAGCCAGTTGATGACTTTCATCCAAAATGTACTCTAAAAATTTGTGTCTGGAACAGCACTAGCTCTGCCAGCACTGGTGCTTCAATATCTGGCTTGTGTTTACAAAAGTGAAATTTTACATGCCAGCTGCAATACAGACCAAGGAGGAATGGTTCAGATCTACATGTCCCACCAATCTTGGGCCAGCCACTCACTTTCTCTGCCTTGTTTACAGGTGGTTGAGAGAGAAAAGTGGGATAACATCTCTTCCTCCCCCGACTCCATACTGGCAAGAATACCAAGAAGGGTTGGGTACAGATGTAGTCAAACTGTTCAACATACAGTATGTTCTTCAAATCAACAGGGTTGTGTGTTACGGAGTTGTGTTTTGGCTCATCTACATTTAGCTATTATGACTTTCTTTTCAGTGTTTGCCTAGGTCATTTTTAGTATATCTGATCAGTAGAAGAGCAGTGCTGAATCATGTGCAATACAAATTTTAAAAGTGGCAACAACAATCACATGCACTGATCTTATGCCTGCTCCACAAAGACTTGGGTTCTTTCCAGTGTAGTGGCCAACTGCCCAGCCTGAACACAGTATTCAAGAATAATGGATCCTAAGTGAGAAATCTGAAACTCATTCAGACCTACTGAAATATTTGTACAGCCCTCTCACTGAACAAGGCTGGGTTGAAAGATGGTGTCCTGCCCAAGGCTACTTATTGAATAAGGAAAAATTTGAATCTGGAACTTGCACTTTTGGCCTTAAGCTGCAGTGGCTGAGAAGCTGCAGTTCTAAACATCTGTGACAAACTGACCTCAAAAAACAGAAAGCTTTGTGCATCAAATCCAGAGAGCTGGGAGATTAAGGGTTAATTTCTCACTGTGAAACACTGATTGATTGATAGGCTGCTGCCTGCATGCATCCCCCCCCCCCCCCCCCCCCCCCCCCCCCCCCAACTGGTCAGCACCAGCTGAGAAGAACTTTAAGAGAGGCTGAATGCTGAAAAAAGTGTATTTTTTACCTTTATGTGTAAGCAGCCAGAGAGTTGCAGTTGGTGTGTCTGTCAGAGGGAATCCAACAGAGTCACTTGGAAAGTGTAGGGACACAACTCCTTGTCCTTACTGTATACCATAAAATCTGAGGAAAAGTCTTAAGTGTCAGCCAGGCTGAAAACCATTTATTCACAGTGTCAAGAACTGAGGATCAGGTGTGGCAGTAGGTTGAAACTGCCGATCTAGCCAAGTAGAAAAGTAATATTGCTTCTGGGAAATGGAGAATATGTTCTACTCAGTTATTCAGTGGGTTCATCTCTGAAAGGACCCCTGGTTTGTGAAAAAGAAAACAGTCTTAGACAGTCAAAAGGAACACTATAATCTGACAGGGAGGGAAATAAGTACAAGAAGAAAGTGCTTGCCTCCTGGAAATTAAGTTAGCTAAATGAATCTGTATGAAGACACGTTCTGAAGCAATCTCTTAATCTCACTGTAAAGAACTGAGCATTTATGAAAATAAACATCAACAATACTCTCTAGTCTGTTAAAAATATACCCTGTGAATACAACAAAATTTACCCCAGCTTTCTCATCCCCTGCCTATCCTTAACCCAGCCATGCATGCCTGTTAAATAAAACTGTTCAGATTGAACTTTAAATCAAGTGCCATCTCCACATAAAGTCTTTTATAAAGCACATTCATTTTACACAGTACTGCTCAGTCACAGCAGGGAACTAAAGAATTTTTCAACTATCATTTATTATGCAGAAATTGTGATCCCCTTCTGTGCTGCTCACTGTTCCTTCCACTATATATATTTGTAGAAGGTACACAGTGCAGTCCTTGCTGTCAAGAAATCCACCTCCCTGTTCAAGCCTAACCCTGCCTACCTTCATTTAAAGCCCCAAATCAGTATACTTGAGCCGTGTTGGTCTGAAGCAGCAGAGCAAAGTTTGAGTCCAGTGGCACCTTTAAGACCAATAAAGCTTTATTCAAAGTGTAAGCTTTTGTGTGCAAGCACACTTCTTCAGGTACATCTTACTTGTACATGAAAGCTTATATCTTGAATAAAACTTTGTTGGTCTTAAAGGTGCCACTGGACTCAAACGTCGTTCATTTAATAGATCAATAATATATAGCTTATATCTTACCTTCACTAAGGTCAACCAGCTTGCTTTGCTTCCTTACAAATAGCAACATCCTAAACTTTTTAAAAACTATGTTTCCCAAATTGGTCCTGGTTTTATGCAACCAAAGCTCAGTGCTTTGCCTGTGCAGCAGTGCCCCCTGGTGGTTCACACAATGTTACAATGGCCACGTTTTCAAAAATTGCTTAAACATTCACCTTACTTCCTAGAAGGCATCTGTTCATCTGTCTTCACTTTGGCCATAAGAGTATGGAGTTTGCAGCTGTTGGAGCAGAATTCACTAATCCAGTCTCAACTCTTATTTTTTGGTCAAGCAAATCTAAAGACTGGGTCACCAAAGCCCCAACATTCATCACAAGCCTGGCACATACAAATGTTGAGGTCTGACTGGAATCCCTTTGTGTCATATTGGACTGTGGTGTTCAGCCCATGGGTCAGGACCATTACGTGGGTCACAGAGCCCTCTAAAGTTGCCATATGTTTGCTGCTTTTTGGAAAGACTTGCTGCTAGCAGAGATCAAGGGTAGCACAGTTTTTGTTTCTCTGCACAAACAGAGGGGCAACAGGATGACAAGTTAAGCTCATGGGGGGGTATTCTTCCATGGCTTGTTGCTTGCAGTGGTAGACTTCCTTGTGCACAGCTTGCATTGCCTGCCCTTGGCTCGCTACTCCTGCTCTTGACCTCAGTGCGATCATTACTCTGTCTCCTCCCTCTTGCCATCCGGACGCCAAGCACTTCCAGCTCAGTGGCTCCCAAATCTGGAAATGTCGTCTGGAACTCCTTCAGAAACTATGAGGGTCACATGGCGAAGAGCAAGTACAATTATTTGATGTTCTCATTAGAAATATGAAACTATTTTTTGCTGTTTGAATTGCTTTGCCTAACTAGAATTAGTGTTGCTTTCTTCCTGAAAATATTTACAATTTTAAAACAGCTTCACAATAGTAACTTGATGTCACCTCAAAGTACTGAATCCATCTGACTCCTTTTCAAAACCAAGTAACTGCTTAAAGTGGGCTAACAGCTGCAAGCAGATGGGCCTATGGTACAGACTCCTTTGTAAAACACAGTATATTGTAAGCACTTAAGGAAAAAGTGTAAAATATGCAAAGCAATATTTGATTTAGCACACTGAGATCTGAGATCCTGGAGAGCTGCTGCCAGACAGATATCTAGCTTAATGGACTAAGGGTCTGATTCAGTATAAGGCAGGTTCATGTGTGTGTTGGTCTACTCCCGTTTTTTAATATATGTACGTGCGTGTGTGTAGAACAAACCCTCTTCTAACGTATCATATTGATTCTTATTTTTGTGAACTAGGAAAACTGGCTTGAATCCAAAGATCTGCTCAAGCACATGGGGGGGGGATTGTTGACTTCCTAGCTGTAACCCCCACCCACAATGCAGTTCCTATTATCTTTAGCAAATGGAGCTGCACAATCCAACCCATTGTCTGTTCTCAGACTGAGTGGTTAGCAAGGCTGTCATTATTTGTTTTCAGCCCGGCAAGCAGAAACCATGGTCCGAGACTGCTCCATGGAAGGAGGTGCCCTGGAAATGATGACTGCCATCTAAGCACATAAAATAATCTTCACTGTAATTTTCAGAAGTAAATCAAGGGTGTTTTTTCTTTTAAGTGAAATGCTAGGGTGCATGTTGGTAGCACTCCGCATTTTACCAACAATGATCCTTGAAGGGTTTCTACAGATCTTATACAGACCTCTTTCTACCTATATGTAAGGCTTGAGGATATCTGCTTCAATGTATCTAAAGAAGTGCAGGTTTATACCCAGAATTAAACTTTTTTGGTCTTAACGGTGCCATTGGACTCAAACTTTGTTATACAAATCTTAAGCTATTTTTAATAAACGGCTTATATCTTTAATACATTATTAACAATTTCTTGTACCCAAACTAGCAGCAGGGCTTTCCTATGTGAACTCAACACTTGCCTCTGACAGTAAAAGGGAACAGGGCACACAAAGTTAATCTCTGAGCCCCACATGTTTAGAACAGCTGCTGCCTGACTGTGAAAAGGAATGCCACAGGAGGGGCAGCAGGTGATGTAATACACACAGGAGGACCACCGACTTTGCCAATGATAGAGTGGTTATGGCAGGGGTGCAGGGAAGGAGAGGGTATACTCAGCTTGGCAAGCCATTTCAGGCTCATTCATGACATAACTGTTTCAGTAGCCCACGCGTGCTGTATCTGAAACAGAATCTTCTAAAACAAGCCTGTCACAGGGGACAGCCACCCCCCCCTCCATTGCCAACTAAGCTACAATCAGCTCACCAAGTATCTCAGCATTATCTACTCACACAAAACCTTTTCTACAGTCCCCATTTGGGGACAGCTCTGCTCATCAGTAAAAACCACACGTACATTCTTGGAAATGTGGCTTCACTAGCGGATGGCACACGGTGAACTGTGCAGGACACTGCCTAAAATCCTGACTGGCAGTAGCAGCTTACATTTTTGTTCACACTCCTCTTCAAGGTCATCTGTGTGTCACTTACTTAATTTCAGTCTCCTGAGGCATCCAGTTCTGTTTGCTGTGCATTTCCTTCTTGACCTCTGGCTCCTGCTCACATCTGACTGCAAAGATGCCTTGAATTTCAACTCCAGTTTTAACACAACTATTCTGTCAGCTGCAGGATTTGCCCGTGTTTTCCAAGAGATCTATTTCAATCAGTCTGCAACCTGTTTGCCCAAATTGTTGTGTTCTAAATTAGGCATCAAGACAAATCAATCAACGTTCTGTAAAGAATTAAGTCGTATGGCAAGGTTTTGGATAGAAAAACATTTTAATGACCATATGCATGTATGGAATTTTCTTCAATGACAGGAAAGACAAAGCAAGACACACACTTTCCTGTTCACCTATCTTTGGGAGTATTGGTTTTCATGCGTCTAGTACGGTACCTTGAAAGGGGAAAAAAGAAAAAAAACATTAAAATGAAAACATTGTGGTATTTTGTCAAATGTTAAGCTTTTCAGTTTAAAATACTTGAGAGTTTAGATTTTTTTTATTTAAAACTCTGTACAACAATTCATCTTGTGCATGATTTTCTTGTATATTCTATATATTCTGAGTGTTCTACATATAAAGGTAAAGGTTCCCTTGCTCAAAAGCCAGTTGAATCCGACTCTAGGGTTGCGGTGCTCATCTCCGTTTCAAAGCCGAAGAGCCAGCGCTGTCTGAAGACGTTTCCGCAGTCATGTGGCCGGCATGACTAAACACCAAGGCGCACGGAACGCTGTTACCTTCCCACCGAAGTGGTACCTATTTATCTACTTGCAATTTCTTGCTTTCGAACTACTAGGTTGGCAGGAGCTGGAACTAGAGATGGGAGCTCACTCCGTCTTGTGGCACCCGGGTCTTGAACTACTGACCTTCCACAGCCTGCAGTTCAGCGTCTTAACCACTTGAACCACCGCAGCTCCTGTTCTACATATGCTTACCACCTATTCCAATAAGTCAGAAACTTAAAGCAGAATTAAAGTATTTTCTGTTGTCTCCCACATGAACAAATGGTAATACTACACAAACGAGTTCATTAGCACCACCACTGCCTTGCAAATTCTGTTGTGTGTATCACTATAACCCTCTGGCCTGGATGGCCCAGGCTAGCGCGATCTCATCAGATCTCGGAAAAAGCAGGGCCAGGCCTAGTTACTTGGTGGATGGGAGACCACCAACAAAGTCCAGGGTCACTACAAAGAGGCAGGCAATGGCAAACTACCTCTGAACATCTCTTGCCTTGGAAATCCTATGAGACTGCCAGAAGTTGCCTGCAACTTGGATGGCCCTTTCCGCCACCATATCACTATAAAAATTCAGTATGAGAAGCCCCCATCTCTGCTGCACAAAAAAGAACCTCTAAACAATCCAACTTATCTCTGGTCACGCACATTCAGTCAAGACCATCCCAGAAGATGCAGTGTAAGGAAGAAGGCCCGTTGCAGCCATAAATGCAACGAGCGCTAGATTGGCCGGGTGGCTGCAGTCCCACCTCCCCCCCCCCCCGGGTACTTGTGTCCCCCGCCTGCGAGGAATCCGGCTCTGAGAGGGAAGGGGAGGGGGTTTAAACCGGCTCTCCTTCCATGGGCTTGCTCAGCTTCGCTGCGGCTGCGGGGAGGGCAAGCAAGCCGGCTGTGAGAGGGAAGGGGAGGGGGTTTAAACCACCTGTCCTTCCACGGCCTGGCTCGGCTTCCCCGCGGGCGTCTACCCCCTCCCTGAGTGCAGTCGGGGGGCGGTGCTGGCCCAGCAAGGTCGGGGGCAGCACAGGAAATGGTGGCGGAGGTCGAACCCAGCAGCCGGGCAGGCCGCGGCGTGGCTCTTTCCCCCGTCACCGAGCTGCGTGGGGGCACGCCGGCAGGCCAGGGACGCTGGGGGTGCAGGGAATGCCGCCAGAGGCTGAACCCCCCCCCGAAGCAGAGCCTGCGGCCTCCCGGGGCCAGGCTGCAGCATGCCAGGGAAGTGTGGCATGGCTCTCTGCAGCCCCCGTCTGCTTGTAGGCTGGCCAGGGATGTGAATGGTGGTTGAGGGGGGAAAGATGGGTTGGGGGCGTCTGGAGGCGTCTGTGTGGCCGGCAAGCTGCCCGCCTGCCACAGCGGTTGAGGGGGGAAAGGTGCACGATTGAAGGGGCGACTGTCCAAGGTGCTCGGCCTCATCCGTCTCCCCACTGCCCATCTGTTCCAGCCGTGCATGAGCCGCCGCGCAGGCCTCGTCCCTCCCCCCCAGCCAGCCAATGGCACGCCAGTAGTGTTGAGTGGCAGTGGACGGGCCAATGGCTGAGGGAGCACATGCAATCTCGCCCTCCCATAGGACAGAAACCACCGAAAATCAGCTTTATATATAAGAGAGATACTGTAAAGAGTGCTAATAAAAGTATTACACTCTGTATATTTAATTGTCTCCCCAACACTGTTTCCCACATTATGTCTTAAGAAAGCACTTACTGCCCCACTGGATACCAGCGATGTTTTGTTGTATAAAACATTTTACTAAGTTCCTCAATTGTAGGACCTTGCTTGTTCTTGAGATCTTTCATTTCCAGCTTAGATTTCAGCACTTGATCATGTGTTTCTTCCTTAAAATCCACTGGATCTAGCCGTGGAATGGGCTGTCAAAAAAACCCGCCCAAAATATTACCAAAGAGGTCTACTATTGTTCTTTGAAAAAGAAGCCATAAATCTCTGCACTCATGGCTACCATGATTAGCAAATTTGCAGGCATTTAAAACCAGATCGCAAAGCGTTTATATACAAACATACACATATGCGCCAACAAAATCTTACCACATGGGGACCTGGAGAGACGGCAATGCAAAGAAGCATTAAAATGACAAGAAAGTCTCTGTTGAATAAGGAAGTCCATCTATTCTAGCATCAACAGTGAAAAACCTGAAGATCACGTGTAGCTCTGAATATGTAGATTCGTTGCCAGGAAGATCACGTGTAGCTCTGAATATGTAGATTCGTTGCCTACCATTTGTCCCCACCAACTGGTACTTAGTGGCTAGTAGCGGCTGACAGCCTTCTTTTCCTCCCTGAATCTAACTGAATTCCCTTTAATGCTATCTAAACCAGTGGCCACCCAATGAATTCATGGTGTGAAATAGTTAATTTTCCTAAATCTACTGCCAAATAATTTCATTGAGTTCTTGTATTTGGGAAAAGAAGAAAGTTCTATCCACTTCCTACACTGTGCCCGATTTCACACTAACTCAGCTTAGAGGGAACACTGCTTATATTAAATTAAGAACATAAGAGTAGCCAGGCTGGATCACGCCAATGGCCCATCCAGTCCAACACTCGGCGTCACACAGCAGCCAAAACCCAAGTGCCATCAGGAACTCCACCAGCAGGGCCAGAACTCCAGAAGCCCTCCTCCTGTTGCCCCCCAGCACCAAGAATACAGAGCATCACTGTCCCAAACATGTTCCATCTATACCTTGTGGCTAATAGCCACTGATAGACCTCTGCTCCATACACTTATCCAATCTCCTCTTAAAGCTGTCTATGCTTGTAAACCCCACTGTTTCTCACAGCAGTGAATTCCACGTGTTAATTATTCTTTGAGTGCAGAAGTACTTCCTTTATCTCTGCTCATTAAGTTCACTGAGTGCCCACAAGTTCTTGTATTGTGAGAAAGGGAGAAAAGTACTTCTTTCTCTGCCTTCTCTATCCCATGCATAATTTTGTAAACTTCCATCATGTCACCCCTCAATCATTGTTTCTTTAGGCTAAAGAGCCCCAAGCGCTTTAACCTTTCTTCATAGGGAGGGTGTTCCATCCCCTTAATCATTTTAGTTGCCCTTTTCTGCACTTTTCCCAATGCTATAATATCTTTTTTTGAGGTGAGGTGACCAGAACTGTACACAAGATTCCAAATGAGGCTGCATTATAGATTTATACACAGGCATTATAATACTAGCTGATTTGTTTTCAATCCCCTTCCTAATAATCCAGTCCAGTCCTCTATCGTAGTTATCAGCTGTCATTTTTTCCCCAAACTAAAAAATAGATAAATGTACAGTTCTTTTCTAGCACAAGCCCATTTGGTTCCTTTTATAACTCAACCATGCAAAGAGCTGGAAAACTAAACTGAGACGAAGTACATTTTCTAGGTAAGATTTCACATACTCTTGTGTGTTCATATGGAATGTCCACTGAAGGGTGATAGCAAACTATGGTCTTTCCATCTGATGTCACAGCAAGTTCCACTTTGCTAAAAAGAAAAAAAGAAAGAATATTTTCTACTTCTTTGAATGACATTTTCATAGATTCTACTGGATAAATACATTTTAAAAAGATGCTGATTAGTAAGTTTATTAAGTAATGAGCATGTAGATTTTCCTGATTCAAGAGCAACAAAGACAGATGAAAAAGCATCCATAAGACTTACGATCTGTTTGTCTAAGATGTGGGATACAAATCTTTCAAATGGATTGGAATGTACACATGAATCCCATGAGTAATGAGAGTACGATAAGATGGAGGAGGGGAGACCAATGGGGAGTTGCTTTGGGGCCCCACTGGGGGGAAAGGTGGGGGATAAGTAAATAATAATAATATTCAATACCAATACATATGTTCAAAAGTCGTGAATGTTTGCAGGTGGATCACAATAGGCAGGGCCCAAAAGATGAGACACAGGGCAGGCATGAATTAAACCGAGTCCATACAGCAACAGCTATTCTAGTGTCACCCTTGCTATCTGGCAGACATTTGAACTGAACATTGAGTTAAGCCATTCTGATGCAATACATACCAATTGTAGTCATCCGGAAGAGCTGAATATGTAGATTTGTTGCAGGAACAATACACGGCTGAGTCTGGGGAGGAGAACAAGAGCTGAGTAAAGTGGACACTGTATAAACACAGCAGAGTATTATGTGTACTTGCTTTCAATACAAAGAGTATTATCAAATGATCATCATCTACCCGAGAGACTAGTGCACGTGTCCACTCTGAAGCATTATCTCCCTTCTCAAAAGCCTTTCCATTGTACTTTGAAAGAAAAGCAAACAGAATGCACACAGATCATTGGTGATAGAGGTGACTGTGTCCTTACCCTGAAGGATAGTTAAGAACTGCTTTTTGACCCCAGTGTTCAATACTGGGCTACCATATAAGCTGGAAGTTGCTGGCAAAAACCCCAAAACCCGATCGTCTACAATTTCTTGCTTCAATGGCTCTCCCATGGTGGGCAGGGGGAGGCAGAGGGACTGCTCCATAAAGCCTCATGAAGAGGATTTGGTATGGCTCTGGAAACATGTGAGCAGCTGTAGGAATCCTTTCAGCAGTTCTCACTGATAATTCTTTGAACTCAGGGCAGCAGAGATGGAGAGGAAGGCTCCAGTTGGCCCCTTTCCCAACACATCACCACCAGCATCTTATCCTTTGCTCCTCTACATCCATTTCCCCTGCTCTCATACATAGTGCTCGGGCATTTACAAGTGGCTGTTGCAAAACTGAGAGAAGTGCTTTTCTTTCACTGACGTTAGCAGCTGGACATGAACAGGAAGAGAGAGGCATCTTTCTTCTTGGCCAAGCTGAGTGCAACTGACTTGCCTTGGCTGCAGCAATGCTAACCCAGCGAATTCGCCAGTGGTCAAGAGGTGTTCCTCTCTCTAAGCCAAGCTGCCTAAGTTGTGGAGTCCACCCCCTGCCACTGTGGCACCTGCTTACTCTATAGACAGCATAAACTCCCCCCCCCCCAATTGTATGAGAAGAGAAATCAGGAAGCCCTGTTTGCCACAGAATACTCGGCCGCTTGGAACTTTTGGGAGCACCTCTGTGATATCAAGACCCACCCAAAACAAAAACCACCTAGCTAGAATCTAATAAAAGAATGCTTACCAAAGGCCAGAGACTGCCGAGTCAATGCTTTGAAACATGTTCCCACAGTAGTAAACACAGCCCTTCTGGATGCTGTAGCCATACTAGCAGATAAACCCACTGGCACTTCAAGAAGTTGTCTGGAGGAGAGCTGTGAAGTTCAATCCAGGTTTCACCACTGTTGGAAGTCAACAGTTTGTCAGTGCATTAGTCAACATCCAAAGCTCAATCACTCTGTAACTTTTTTAGGTAATAAAGGTATTAGCTCTGAGTTCACCATATTCCCAAACCTTGAACAGCTTTCCCCAGAAGTTTCATTAAGTTATTAAATAGCATAGAATTCAAAATGGAAGCCTGTGGCTCCCATAACATAAATGAAGCATAGCGGAGGAGAGGTCTGTTAGCGCCATTTTTGGAATGTTCCTGCAAGGTAGTAAAAGCCAGTACAATGCTCTGCTTCTAATTCACAACCCAGACAAGCGATCCAGAAGGTCAATGGTTTCAATGACTACTAAAGATCCAGAAGTACCAACAAGTAACTCTCATGATATCATATGTCTCAGCATAATCAGCTAGGGCAACCAAGGCACCCTCTGTCCTAAACCCTGGGTGAAAGCCAGTCTTGAAATGGTTCCAGATAGTCCATATCATCCAGAAATGTTTGGAGAACTGTGCCCCAAAGTAGGAGATAAGTAAATGGCTGATAGCTAAACCAACCAGATCAGGCAAAGTTCCAGGAGTGCTCTCACTGTCGTTCAAGGCAGCCAGGACCATTTCTTCTCATAACAAGGCCTTCATCACCACCTTCTGGACCCAATCCCTGGATTCCTCTAACAGGCGTACAAGTGGCAGGCACCACCTTTCCTAGCACCCTTCAGGCTACCAAAAAATAAATTTGTGGAGGCTCTAGAGAAACACCTGGCAATTGTACTACATCCAGTGTGGTGGCAGAGTCCGAGTAAATAAGAACAACCTGACCTGCAAAGCGCTTAGCAAATTCTACAGAAAGCTCGTGAGGATTTCCTTCAATCAGCCTACAGCAGAGAGTATAGCAAATCCCTTACCACTTTGGAAATGTTAAACAGCATAGCACATTGGATGCAATGGCGTCAGAGATGTAATTATTATAATGGTATTGGACATGAGGTTTTATTAAATAGTTAGGTAAAGGTAAAGGTCTCCCTTGCTCGAAAGCCAGTCGAATCCGACTCTAGGGATGCGGTGCTCATCTTCGTTTCCAATCTGAAGAGCCAGCGCTATCCAAAGATGTTTCCGTGGTCATGTGGCCAGCATGACTAGACGCCAAGGTGCACGGAACGCTGTTACCTTCCCACTGAAGTGGTACCTATTTATCTACTTGCAATTTCTTGCTTTCAAACTGCTAACCTCTTCATTATTGCTATAAAAACGGTTTTAAAATGTGCTCCAAACCCTTCCCTCAGGCCAAAATACAAGAGAAGTTAAAAAATACTCCTTTTGGTCTTGGCTTTTCACAGCCAACAACATATGATTTTCATGCCAAGGATTATACAGAGGCATCCACCTTTGTTTCAATTAATCAGAATGTCATAAAAAGCCATGTAGGTTGCAGATCCCAGCCTACATATAACAACCCAGGCTTGTAAAAGTTACTTGCCTCTGGCAGTAAGAATTATATTCAGGTGAACATGTAGGAAGGCTTTTTATAAGGCAGGCTAAATGTTTTTTCAGACTGCCAATGTCGCACAAGTTATTTACTATGCTACACCTGAAGAGGTGGACTATTTTTTTTAAATGTGTGAGCTCATTTACAGTGCTATCATATTTTCCTTAACCACCAATTAAAAGGTTTCAATATGGGAAATGAGAATATAATTACCGTGCCTCAGTGCCACAATCAATGGGCCTTACACTGTGAGAGCAAGTTTGGTGTAGTGGTTAAGAGCAGCAGACTCTAACCTGGAGAACCGGGTTTGATTCCCCACTCCTCCACATGCAGCTAGCTGGGAGACCTTGGGTCTGATACAGTTCTCTCAGAGCTGTTATCTCAAGAGCAACTCTCTTAGAGCCCTCTCAGCCCCACCTACAGGGTTTCTGTTGTGGGTAAAGGAAGGGAAGGAGATTGTAAACTGCTCAGAGACTCCAAGTGAAGGGTGGGGTATAAATCCAACTCTTCTTCACATTTGCTGTCAGTATAGATAAGGCTCAATTTAAACACGACAACAGTGGAACAGAAAGATGTACCTACAAGATGTGCCCACCTTCTCATTTCAACTGGACCTTCAGCTACTACCCATGCAATACCAGCATCTGTGGTCCAGGTGGACATTATATTGGCAGGACTGACTGTGCACTGGCCAGCCCGGCTTATGTCAGCTGATGGGTGCATGTAATAACACATGGGCCCCTGCCACACGGCAGGGAAAACACCCGGCAAAGCGCGGCTAAATAGAGCCGCACCAAAAAAGAGACGCGCAGGCGGGATCCCATGGATCCCGTGCACCGCGCGCCGTTGCTCCCCAGCATGATCAGATGCCGAGGAGGTAGGGACACTCGGGAGGGGGAGGCTGCCGAACTGCGCATGCTCACGCATGCGTAGTTCGGCTGGGGGCCGGGGATGCTCCGGCGGCAAGACGCGCCGCCGATCCCACGGCCAGCGATGATACGGACCAAACGGATGAACCACCTAGGTAGGTGGTTCAGTTTTGAAGCGATTCATCAGGGGAAGGGCCGGATTGGAGACGGGAGCGCAACGCCAGCCAGATGTTGACGTGGGATCGCGCCCGTTTGCTGCGCTTCCAATCCAGCCCACTCCCGGCCCAAAACGCCTCGTATGAACAGGGCCATGAATATGTTAATGTGCCCTGCCAGCATCAGGTTTCAACCAGGCCACATCTGCAAACAAGAATGCTGTTTCCTAGTAGATCAACACTTTACCCAGAGCAGGACAAAACCACCCTCATCAGCCTACAGCTTACATAGTATCTATATTACCACCAACATAGTAATATAAAGTCACTCTGCCAAAGGTTCCAAATTTCTTTTAAGACTGGATGTGTCACCTTGACACAGTGCCTGCTCAAGGAGTTTTTAGCAGGAGTCTTAAAGGCATTTCTTTGTAGCACAATTACCATGCCACTTAGAGACAACAACCAATTTGGCCATTACATTCCAAGCACCACATTGCCATAAGCAGCACATTATGTTTTAAAATTTCCTTTTGTAAAGGGTCACTGTTTACCCATTTTTTATCTCAGCCCTCCCCTGACGAGGTCAGAACAGCATTTGCGGTTCTCCTCTTTGGACTCGACTCAAGATCATTTGGCGAGTGGTGAAGATAAGTCGGAATCTGAACTCGGGTTGTCCCAGTCCTAGTCTAATTGGGACCTGCTGCCCCACAAAATTTCCCCATGCCCCACCAACCCAAAATTTCTGGGTACGGGGCTGGGGACCATTATATCACACTGGCTGTCTTCTAAACCCCCATGGCAGCAATTGCACGAGTCGTGGCAACACCGCATACTCTGCTAGGCCAAGACAGCATATTTCAAATAAACGGGCCTGAACAGGAAGCGACGCTTCAGCAATCCGCCCCAAGGACTTCAAGAGCAGGGCGCCACTTTCTGGGGTAGGCGAAGGGTCTTCCTACCGCCAAATGGCTGGCTCTGCACGGGGGGGGGGGGGGGGGGGGGGCGTGGTGTTCG